TCCAGGTTGAGCTGTTGTTCAGCATCTCATCTGTGGAGGGCAGTGTCACTGGCCATCATATCTGGGATCCGAACCGGGGCCCTCTGGCGTCCCAAGCCAGCTCTTAACCATCGCGCCACTCGGCCGGCCCCCTCACTGTGGTTTTGATCTGCATTTCCCTAATGCTTATGATGTTGAGCATCTTTTCCTGTGCTTTATTGGCCTTTTGTGTGTCTTTGGAGAACTGTCTCTTTAAATCCTTTGCGCATTTAAAAATTAGGTTATTTGTCTTTTTATTGTTGAATTGTGAGAGTTTTTACTATATCCCAGATACAAGCCCCTTATCAGATATATGATTTGCAAATATTTTCTCCCATTCTGCGGGGTTTTTTTTTTCCCCCCACTTTTTGATGGTGTCCTTTGAAGTATAAAAGTTTTTAATTTTGATGACGTCCCAATTTATCTACTTTTTATCTTGTTCCTTATACTTTCGGTCATGTCTAAGAAACCATTGCCTCATCCAAGGTCATAAAGATTTACTCCTGTGTTTTATTTGAAGAGTTTTGTCTCTTATGCTTATGATCTGTTTAACGTATTATTGAGTATTTCCATGTGATTAAGTACTCTTCCTTCCTAGAAGTGGAATTATTAAATCAAAGATTGCATGTTTTTTAGACTTTAGATATATGTTCCAAAACTATCGCGACTGTCTTCTCCCTATCATTCGCCTCCCCCTCCTGTCTCCCCCTGCCTTGGTTCAGGCCTTTGCCGTCTCTTGCCCTGTATGTGACAGTAGCCCCCTGTGTATTTCTGATGGACATGCTCAGTGCAGTGTGGTAAGCACAGTGGCATGGTGGTGGGGGGAGCTGTGACAGGACAGAGGAGGGACACATAGCCCCATCTGGTGATTTGGGGTGGTGGGGGTGAGGGGGTTGGGGAGTGCATCAAGGGGGGCTTCCTGGAAGTGAACAGTGAGCTGACTCAGCAGGCGGTGTGGGCATTAGCAAAGCATAAACATGGGCCGGGGAGTAGGGAGTGTGTGTGAGGTCCTGGAGGTGGACGCTAGCTCTGCTGCTTCCTGGCTGTATATTCTTGGGGAAAGGGACTTACCCTCTCTGTGTTTTAGTTTTCTCATCTGTAAAATGGGTAGTAGACAATAGCTAAGGGTAGTTAGTAGTAGCTAACTCCTAGGAAGGTGGCAGGACCCCACGAGGCAGCAAATGTTGAGGTTCTGGCTGGGGTGGCCAGTCCTGAGGAGGGACAGGTGGAAGAGGCCAGCGTTGGCTCTGTTGTTGTACAGAGGCAACTGTGTGGACAGGTTTGAGGCTGAGGCGATAGATATTTGGTTAAGACTTGGGCCTTGGGTTTTGTTACCCAGGGGGCCGGCTGTGATAGTGGTTATAAGCTGGTCTGTAGACCACCTAGGTTTGGATTCCACTTCACTACTTACTAGTTGTGTAACCTTGAGCAAGTTCTTTACTATCTTTGTGGCTTAGTTTTTCATCTGTAAAACGAGAATAGTAACAGTACCGTGTTCATAGGATTGTTGTGAAGATTAAATGAGTTGATATGCAAAGTGCTTAGAATAGTGCCTGACACATGTGCTCTTTTTGCTGTTATTGTTTTTCTTGGTGATGGGAAAGAGGTCGAGGGTCGGAGCTGGAAGGAGATGTGGGATTCAGCGCGGTTTGTGATGGCTTAGGAACAAGGTGGATTGGATTGCCCGAGTGAGGTCAGTAGTCTGAGGGGCAGTGGCCAGGGGCTGGAAGGTGTCAGCAGCAGCAGCGGGAGGGGAGGGGGTGATATGGCTAGTGGAATGAGCGTGAAAGGAGGCAGGGGTTTCACAAGAGGGTGGAGGAAGCGTGGTCTGGATGTGGCCATAAATAACAACAGCCATCGCAATTACTTTTATGACTCTGGAAAGGGCATTGGGTAACAAGAAGAATGCCAGCTCTTTCTCCTTGGATCCATTCTTCACTTTGCAGCCACGTGTTCATTCATTCAGGACATTTGTCCTGAGTGCCTGAACGGACAGCTACAGTGCTGGGCACTGGGGTTGTGGTGATGAACACGACAGACCCACTTCCCACGACAGACCCACTTCCTGCGTTCACGGAACCTACTGGCTAAGAGGAGAGACAGACATTAAACAAATAATTGTGCAAGTCATTAATCAATACAGATTGGATCATGCCACTCCCCCAATCCCAGAATCTTCACTCATCTCCACTGCTATGGAATAAAGCCCCGATTCCTAAGCATGGCTTGAAGGCCCTGCAGGATTGGTCCCAGTCCCACTCTTGACTGTTCTCCTTACCACTGCTGCTCCTTCACCCAGGCGCCTGGCCCCCCAGGACTGCTTGCTGTGCCCTACGCTGACTATAACATTTCCATAGCCCCCTGCTCATGCCCTCTCTGCACCTGGCATGTTCTTGCTGGACCATCAAGGCTGGCACAGCAAATGTTTTCCTTTGGGAGGCCTTTCCCAGTCACCATCATTCTCTCAGCCATGTTCCCAGAGTACCTTGGTTTTTTTTCTGGATTATATTATAGCACTTCATGTATAGAATCAGAAGGGGCAATGTGGCTCCAGTGGGAGGAGGTCATGACAAAGGCTCCGAGTTAGGAGTAGGCACGGAAAGTAGGATGCTGGGAGGAGAATGTGTCAGGGAAGCGGGAGTTGCCCAGGGTAGGCTGAGCGCCTGTGGCGTAGGGGGCAGCCTCGAGTGCCTGGCTGGAGTGGAGGGACCAGCTCCCTCCCTTTAGGAACATGATGGAAAGCTTGGGCTCTGGGAGTAGGCAGTGTGTTCAGCGTGTCCATATGCTGAGAATTTCTTTATGGGGATGCATATCTGGGGAAGAGTCATTCCTACTTGAGTTGGTAAAGCCCAGGGTGCTAATAAAACCTTCAGTGGAGCAAAATGGAGTTAGAAATCCCAGCCACAGGAGGAAGGGCTGGTCAGAGGCCTAGCAGAAGCTGCCCGAACCTTCCCTGACTGGGAATGTGCCATCACTGCTAGTGGGGGTGCCCTTAACTTCGGTGGCCACCAGGGGATGTGACTTCCCTTGGCTGCCTCCTCTATATTTGAGATAAATCCAAAAGCCCTTTGCTGTGTCCTGGTAGTGGCACATGGAGGGGGACCCTTACCGGCTGGGGGAAGGGGGCCTGTGCTCAGACAGCAGCACCGAGGTAAGGGAGCCTCCCTGGGGCAGGCCTCAGGAGTCCAGCTGCTGGATCTCAGAAGTCCAAAGGCAGATGCAAACAGTAGCTGTCGATTACCACTCTGGTGCAGGATGAGCTTCCGGGGTAGTCATCCCCAGCAAGGTTGGGCTGGGCCCCAGTGAGGCCCAGGTATGGCCTCTCCACCAGAAAGGCCAGTGCAGTTGAAGAGCTGCCCTAACAGAGGATAGGGGCACACCAGACCAAGAAAGGGGATGAGAATATTTGGAATGGCCTGAGTTAGAGCTGTGGGACTTTCTCCCCTCATCAGAAGCTGAGGGCAGCATCAGGGGAGCCTGGGAGGCTTGGCAGGTGTCAGCAAGGGACTGAGGTGCTGGCAGCGCCTACTGCAGGCGCTGCAACCCAGCCTGCAACCCAGCCTGGGATCCCCATGGGTGCAGGCAGTTAATCTCTGAAGGCCGGAGTCGCCACCGCTGGAGAGCAGGAACATTGAACTTTTCAATCACATTAATTTCCACAGGAAATTGTTGTCTTCCTTTTGTCCAAAGGTTAGTGATTTATATTTACCATCCTCTTAACTAGCCTTGAAATTTACTGTTGCCAGGTCACCACCAACCTCCATAAATCTCAGGGTGGCAGCTGAGCATAGCCAAGTGGCTTGGTCCTCAGAAGGCTATACCCTAGCCCTTTCGGGAAGGCAGATAACTAGCAACAGACAGTGCCTGCACGGAAGTCCCCCTGAGGGGGTGGGTACTCACTTGGCAGGGGAAATGAGATGAGATTTGACCAACAGGGCTGCAGGGAGGCTTTTTCAGGGGCAGCCATGGAGCAGGCAGCTGGCTTGTGCCTTGGAACATCGCCAAAGAGACGTAGTTGTAGACGGGGGTGGGGTGGGATATGGGGTGGTGGCACAGAAGGTCTCAAGTGACTTAGGATGGGGAGCAGGGGCCGTGTGACATTAGGCAAGTAACTTAACCACTCTGTGCCTCAGTTTCCTCATCTGAAATAATATTACCCAGACTGTTGTTAAGAGGGTTAAACCTAAATAAATACGGCTGATATTATTGTCTGGCGGGGCAGGGTGGGTGGTTTGGTATGGGCTTTAGAGTCCGTCCGCTCCACCGCTGACTGATCCATTTCTCTTTGTAGGACCTTCTTTTTCTGTCTGTTGTGGAATTAGAACAGGGGATGGTAAACTTTTCTTGTAAAGGGCCACTAAGTATTTTATGCTTTGTGAACCATACAGTCTCTGTTGCAGCTACTCAACTCTGCTGTTTTAGTGTGACTGCAGCCATATGCAAGAAGTAAATGAATGTGGCTGTGTTCCAATAAAACTTTATTTGTGGACACTCAAATTTAAGTTTCTTATACTTTTCATGTGTCACAAACTAATATTCTTCTTTGGATTTTTTTAACCATTAAAACATGTAAAAAACATTTTTATTTTCGGCTCACAGATCATACAAAAGCAGAGCATGGGCTGGATTTGGCCCATGGATTGTAGTCTGCTGACCCCTGGATTAGAAGGTGAAATTGCCTGGAGAAAGTGCTTACTTTTCTCACCTGGGCTGTGTCTTTGAGTCACTAAAGTAAAGTGCCCTCATGTGGATTTTTCCAGTGACCCTGCAGTGCCTCCTGAGAGCCCAAAAGCCACCTGAAGCAGAAGGACAGAGGAGGGAGCCCCGTGGGAACCTGAGGCACAGGGCTGGCAGAGTGCCCGGGCCTGGCACCTGTTGGTTCCCTGCCGGTAGCCAGAGTGATGCTGGCTCTGGATTGGCCAGTTACCCTCACCCTGCACCCCAGCTCCAGTGCTGACAATCTCACTGTGTTTGTGTTTCAGAGAACAGCGAAGGCGGGAAGGAGGCTGGGACTCAACAGCCTCTGGTGATTCTTTTGGGCTGGGGTGGCTGCACTGACAAGAACCTTGCCAAGTACAGCGCCATCTACCACAAAAGGGTGAGTACTGCAGGCATGTGGACACCCGTGCGCTGGGTCTCTGCCACCTGTGGCTGCTCTGTGGAGGGTCTCTAAGCCTTGGCTGCCCTCATCTCTGGGCTGCAATACAAGCTGACCACCAATGTGTCAGGCCTGAGAATGGCATCAAGAATGACCTGTGAGGAAGACACTGGGGTCATGGGGACTTCGGCAGGATTATTCCCCCTTTGCTGCCAGCTTTGTGGCCTGTTCTGTCCCCTTCAGTCCCCTGACCTGCTTCCTCTTCCTTGGTCCCCAAACCCCACAGTGGACAGCCCAGCTCTGCTGTGCTCCCAGCGGTGGCGTTGGCCCAGACCTCACGTTTCTAGCTGGTGTTGCCTATCTGGGCAGCAGGGGCCTGGGCTGGCTGCGCTGGGCATAGTCTGAATTCCCAGGACGTTCTCCTTTTCTGACCAGGTGAGCTTCTGTCTTAGGTTTGACCTTGGCACCTTCATATTCCCAGAGTAGAGGGGTCTCTTGGAAAAGAGATTCATGCTTGAGGTTTCCTTGCTGCTTCTCAGGCCGCACCAAGAGTTGGATGCAGAGGTTGTGGTAATAGGAGAAAGCCTTAGGGGGCCTGGGTGTATTTTGAAAGCCCATTTCACATCTTTGGCCTCTGGCCCAGCCCAGACCTCCCAAAGCAGAGAGACACCAGCATAGACAGCCCCAGCTGCCAATTGCGAGCCCTGGACTGAGGAGGAGTGGGATTCTCCTGGGAGAAAGGCCAGCTGGTGGCCCCCTCCCCTTGGCCTCCCTCCACTGACCCACGTCTGCACTGTGCCTGAGGTGTGTGATGGCCCTGGAATGGGAGAAGGTTTGGGGGAAAACGTGATTCTGAGTTGAGGCTTGCTGCAGCCAGCAAGCCCGGTCCTCTGGCGTTAATGTTTACAGACTGCCTTACTCTGCAAGTAGCTTCAGCTACTTCTGAATTCCACTCACTGGGCTTGGCTTGTTTGTCTGGCTTCTCCATTAGACTAAGATCCGTGAGGGCAGGCGGAGGAATAGGAATAGGTGAGTGTGGCTAGAACAGAATGAAAGAAAGGGTGTGTGTCAAGAGACGAGGTTGGGGAGGGTCCACAGGGGATTTAAGCAGGAGTGTGAGGTTAGATTTGTGCTTCGGAAAGGCTCTCACTGCAGAGCTGGGGAAGGACTGGAGGGGCCAGACTGGAAGCTGGGAAGCGAGTATGTTGCAGTGGTCAGGACCTTGAGGCTGGTGGTACTGTGCAGGGAAGTTGATGGTTCAAGGAGCTTGTTAGAAGGTAGAATGGTACATGAGTGAGAGATTGCATGTGAGCACAGGGATCGGGAAGGGTCCGGGGGAATGCCAGGTTCTGGCTGAAGCAGTTCCTAGGTAGAGGGAGGTGTGTTTTTTAAGACCAAGAGCATTAGAAGAGAAGCCATAGGCCCGGGGTGGATGAGATTCCCCCAGGGAGTGTGCAGATGACAAGAAGAGGGCCTAGGACAGAGCCCTGAGAGTCCCAAACTTAAAGGAGCGGAAGATGAAAAGGGTCCTACGAGGAAAGGAGGAGGGGCTAGAGAGGGACAAGAAAACTCAGGCGAGTGTGGTGGAATCCACAGAGTCTTTGGGAAACAGGCCATTGTACAGGGTGAGAGGAAAGAGGTTATTGGGGCAGAAGGCACGGGGAGTAAGGGAAGGAGCACAAACTCAGGGAAGGCAGAGAGGTTGAGGTGGCAGGGCTGGTGGAGGGGTCATCTGGGAAAAGAAGGGGGTGCCTTTACCTTGTGGTTGGGAAGTCAGGATGGGTGTTGAAAAAACATTTTCCCAAACCTAAACTCCTAATACTGTATTATTTAAAAGAAAACAGAAACACCACATTCTACTACCCCGAGATTACCTCTGTTTACACGTTAGTGTATATTTTTTCAGCTTTTATCTGTGTGTATCTTTTCTTTACCTAAGGGAGAGCTGTTGAATTTACTGTTGGGTTGTCGGAGAAGTCATGATGTATTTTTCTATGTTTTTCGTTGCAAAAATGCGTCATGACTTTTCCGACAGCCCAGTATTTTATATATTGCTTTTTTTCAATCATGATCTCCACTTTCCCATGTTAATAAATTTTCAGCTCATCTAGTTTCCAGCCCATATTCAGGTTCTCTAATATTAGAGTCCTCAAAGCGTCCTTTATAGCTGATTTGCCCAAACCAGGATCCGATCCAGGATCACCCATTGCATGTAGTTATTTTGTTCCTTAACCCTCTTTTAAATCTAGAACAGTCCCTGTTTTCATTATACTAACTTATTGAAGAGCCCGGGCTACCAGAGAATATATCTAGGAGTGTGTGATCCCGAATGCTGTTGGAAGGGAAGTACAATGGGGACTGAAAAGCATCATGGGATTTGACCATTTGGGAGAATATGGATGACTGTCATAAGAGCAGTGCAGTCGTCAGACTGGAGCCAGTAGGAGGAAACGAGGTGGAGAGAAGGGTGGGCGTCCAAGTTTGTCTAGGAAGGTGGAGAGAGGATGGGGTAGAGTTAGCGGGGAACATCGGGTAAAGCAGAAGCTTTTTAAAAATGAGAATGGTTTGAGTGGGAATCTAGAGAAAGGAAGAGACTGAAAATACAGGAGGGGTGAGGACTGATGGAGCAGGGCCTTGTCCTGGGGCTGAGCATGTGCAGAGATGGAGAGAAGGTTGGCTTCTGGGGAGAGAGAAGAGACTGGGATCCAATACACAGTGAGATCCAGGTCCTTGGCATAGGGACTTCCAGGAGCATCTGACTGGGGAGGTGGCGGCAAATAGATGCCAGGCACCTCGGAAACCTCAAAGTGAGGCCCAGGGAGTGCTGGACATTCAGAGGGTGCGCTGTGTGTGTGCACTCGGGGGATGTGGAGTTAGAGGGCACCTCAAACATGGCGTGTTCACAGGAATTGCTGAGGTTATGTCTGTACCCACAGACGTAAGTTCTTTTGTAAATACTGAGGAGGAGGAGAGGGGAGAGAGAGAGAGAGTGTGAGAGAGAGAGCGCACGCACGTGTGTGCATGCGCACTTGTGAAGGTAGTGCAACATGCATGTGTGTACCCACCAGTGGTATGTGTGCTGTGGGTGTGTGCTGTGCTTTATGTGGACTCACAGGTGGTGCGGTGGGTACATCCTAGCGAGTGGTGGGTGCTGTGGGTGTCTGCATCTGTGGGATGAGAGGTGGACGCGCGTTGTTTAGCCTGGGAGTCGCGTGTGTAGTGGTGGTGTGGGAGTGTTTGCCTTTGTGGGCAGTGCTCTGTGTGGGTTGAGGGTGAGTGGGAAGACATTTTCACATCCCACTGGGAGTGAGAACAGAGCACTTCGTGAAATTTCCCAGAGCGAAGGGGCCAGGTAGCATCAGTGACCTCCTCCGCAGTTTTGGGAGGGGTGCTGAGGTACGCCAGGGTCTCGGTAAGGGCAGTGCCAGGAGCATTTGGGGCAGATGTCAGATTAAGGGACGAAGTCAGGGGGCTGCTAGCAGGGTTACCTCAGCTGACCACCCCTGTTTGGCTATGGATCATTCAAGTGCTGGGCCTGTGTTATTACTCCTACCACCACTAATTACTGCTCCTATTAGCCCAGAGTTTCCTTTGTGCCAGGTGCTGTTTTGGGCATTTGAGATAGTTTTTCATTTACTTTTCACCATAATTCTATGAGATGGATGTTATCGCAATTTATAGATGGAGACAAAGGCTCAGAGATATGCAGTAAGTTGTCCTTTGTCCCTACTGTTAATAAGTGGTGCCAGGAGTTGAACTCAGCCCTGTGTGACCCCGAGTCTGCCTGACTCTGAGTCCCCTGACAAAGGGCCCTCTGTCTCTAGAACAGGCTAATGGGAGGGGATTAGGACTCGGGCTAGGTGACTTTGACTGCCTTTTCTAACTGGCCCAGAAGGGGATCTGTCTGGAGACTTTCTTTGAGGCAAACTCAACCCAGGCCTTGAGGGGTACCAAAACCTAGAATTTGGCTCAGATTTTAGAATTTGAGGAACAACAGTGTTTACTACAGTTGGAATTTCAGGGTCAGTAGAATTGTGGTCCCAGGCCTTGGAACCAGACAGGTTTGGGTGCCCAGCCCCTGATGCCAAAAAGTATGGAATGCTCTCAGGACCCTGTGGGAAGGTGGCAGTGGCCTGAGACTGATGTGATGTGGGGGTGGCTCACAAGTGGCCTCTGGTGGTCAAGGCTGGGGCCTGCAGGCTATGTCTCCGGTGCTGGGTCTTATGCCGGGGCGGGATACCTTCTTGTGACTGGGAGGTAGAGACAGTGCAGAGTGGGGTTGCTGCAGCAGGGTATAGCCAAGCAGTGAGGCCTTTGAATGTGCCAGAGTTGAGCAGTTGAGGGAGCGAGGTCAGGGGCGGGAGGGACACAGGAAGCAGGAGAGTGAGGAGATTTCCCTCTGGTCAGTACAGATGTCCCTAAAACATGTTCTGGGCTCCAGGCCGGGCTGAGGGGGCTTGCCCAGTGTGAAATGATTATTCCACAACCTTCCACTCTGGAAGCCACCATGTCTGTGAGTGGTGAGCTGGTGCCCCAGATGCAGCAGGGCCTGGAACACCGCTAGGCCTGTGCAAGTTGGAGCTGCTGGACCCTTCTGATGTTAGCCGTGCCCACCTGCTACCCCGTCCCCGAGGACCTACCAGGCCTCTCTCCTCTCCCCAGGGCTGCATCGTGATCCGATACACAGCCCCGTGGCACATGGTCTTCTTCTCCGAGTCCCTGGGCATCCCTTCACTTCGTGTTTTGGCCCAGAAGCTACTTGAGCTCCTCTTTGATTACGAGGTTGAGAAGCAGCCCCTGCTCTTCCATGTCTTCAGCAACGCCGGTGTCATGCTGTACCGATACGTGCTGGAGCTCCTGCAGACCCATCGGCGCTTCTGCCACCTGCGTGTGGTGGGCACCATCTTTGACAGCGGTCCTGGTGATAGCAACCTGGTGGGGGCTCTGCGGGCCCTGGCAGCCATCCTGGAGCACCGGCCTGCCATGCTGCGCCTGATGCTCCTGGTGGCTTTCACCCTGGTGGCAATCCTGTTCCACGTCCTGCTCGCTCCACTTACTGCCCTCTTCCACACCCACTTCTATGACAGGCTACTTGATGCAGCCTCTCGCTGGCCCGAGCTCTACCTCTACTCGAGGGCTGATGAGGTGGTCATGGCCAGGGACGTGGAACGTATGGTGGAGGCACGCCTGGCACACCAGGTCCTGGTGCACTCTGTGGACTTTGTGTCATCCGCACATGTCAGCCACCTCCGCGACTACCCTACTTACTACACAAACCTGTGTGTCAACTTTATGCGCAGCTGTGTCCACTGCTAGGGTTCTTGCCCCACCCACCTCACCCCTTCTCCAGAAATAAATACCTGACATCTCTACAACCTATGCCCATAGGTGGGGTCCTCTTCTGGTTCAACTCCCTACGGCCGTTGGGACTTTGTGGTCCCGCAAGTGGAGAACTCCCTTGGGTCTCTGTCCTGGGGGACTGTGGTGGCCTGCTTCTCCAGGGATGTTAGAGGGTGGGGGGTGGGAGTGGTTAGGCATGTCTCTGCGGGAGCCTTGCAGTGGTTGTGTTTGGACAAGTGCATCAGTCAGGCTGCTGATTCCTCTGGCAGTTAGACTGTTAGGAGTAACCAATGGGGGGGGGGGTTTGCCGGTGAGAGGGTAGATGATGAGCCCCAGGGTTGATCCCTGATTCCTTGAATGGAAGGTGAGCTTTGGGAGGTGCCAGAGGGTAGGATCAGTCTGGGGCAGGGGCTGTGCTCTCTGCTGCAAGGCCCCCTGAAGGGCAGAGCCCCACAGCATGAAGCACCATCCCCGTGGATCTCATTTGGCAGTTCATGCAGAGAGACTTTTCTGACCTCATTGCCAGGGAGTCTGAGGTAGAAGTCAGATGAGAAACTAAGGACGCAGAGGTGCCAGGCCAACCCGGGTCCACCACTTTGCCAGGAAGCCACTGGATCCAGGAAAGTTGTAAGGTGTGTTTGTGTAATGGGCAAATGGAGTGGGGAACAGGAAGACAGCAACACCACACGGGAGCTGGGACAAGTGAAGTCAGGAGCCCTGAAGCCCAGCTTGAGGGCAAGGGGCTGCCGTTTGGCTGAAACAAACTCCCTCATCTCCTTGAGGGAGACCCACTTGATCCTCTCTAGGAAGGAGTGGTGGCTTTAGCTTTCGAGTTCTGTATCATCTATCATTCAAGTCACTGCTGCACATGCTGGCACATAGTAGGTATTCAGTAACTATTTGTTGATTGAAGGAGCTTACTGTGGTGATTGAGGGACTTAGGAAGCAGGGATGCGCTTTGAAAGTTTGACAGGCAGTGAAGGAGATGGCTGGAAAAGCGCCGGGTGGGAGCTGAGTCCTGATACTCTCGGAGCTGATGGACCCTCTGTCTCCTGAGCTGAGCTGTCTGCATTCAGTCCTCTGGGACCTCTGGGGACAGTTGCAGCTGAGTCCTATGCTGTGTCTGCATTCTTAGCCATGGCCAATAGGTGGCAGTGCTGCCTGTGCCATGAGACAGCTCAATCCCACAGCAGGGTGGGCTTCATGCCCTCACCCTGGGTTAATGTCCCCTATTAAGAGAGCATATGGCCCGCAGGTGGAAGTAACCAGCCATCGGGGACCTACTGAGTCCAAGGCAGGAAGAGTTGAGACCTGAAAGGAGCAAGCCTGATGGGAACTGGGCATGGCCCACTTCTCTTGCAAACCTTCACTGTGGCTGCTCCACCTCAACAGGCCACATAGATTCCCTAGACTCTTAGGCCTCAGGGTCTGGTGTTCAGGATATTTGGAGCCATCAAGCTGGGCATGGGGCTGTGAAGGAGGGCTCTAACCAGGGTGATTTGTCATTGGGTGCAAGAGGCGGCAGGAGCTGCCTACTGGACCTGATTGTAGTATGTGCCCACCATGGGCATCCCAGAGATTGGTGTCTAAAGTAGGGGGTTTGGGAAGATGGAGGGTAGGCCTGGCATGTGAGAATGTGTAAAGGAAAGGAATCTGGAGTTATGGATATACTCTGGGGTCTTGAATTTTAGTTTTATTTTCTCAAAACCAGATTTTCTGTGGCGGGCGAGGCATCTGCAGCTTTGAGCACCTGCCCGACCAGGTGCCCAGATGCTGATCGTTCACCGGTGGTGGGAAGCTGTGAGGAGGAGGATTTGACAAAGCACCACCTCTAGTGCTAGCTGCCCAGCCTCAGTTCCCTGACTTGAAGGTCCATCTGGGATAATAGGGGTTTCTACTGTTTCTCTTATGATCCAGGCGGTAGCTAATACTGGGCTATTGGTCACTAGGTTGGAGTAGAAAAAAGCCATGGGGGTGGCTGAGATGGTTCGTTTTGGTCCCTGGCTCATTTCAGGGGATTAGAAAGGGATAGAGGCTTGGGGCTTGTGTTTTCACCCCGGCTTATAGCTGCTCCTGCCCTGGATTGGGGGATAGAGCTTGTATCCCCTCTATACCCCCAAGCTCTGACCTCTTCTGTGATTAATGAGCTGACGATTCTGCATCAATAAGGAATTAACCTGGAGCCCCTACCCATCAATAGTCAGGAGTCTAGGCCCCTGGCCCCACCCCCACCCGACGTGGTGCTCCAGGGTCCCTGAGCAGACCAAGTCTGCACTGCTTTACACACCCATAGCCAAGTCCTTTCCACCACATTGCTGCCAGGAATGAACCCGTGTCTCTGTCCACACCACCCCATCACCCATCCCTCACTACACACATACACATGGGCACTAGCTGTTTATATTGGTTTAATCCATGTCAAATGTAGTTTACAAAGGGAAAGGACAAGTACCTTTGTATAGAATATACAGACACAGCATCACACCATGGGGCCCACGGGAGGGGTGGGGGAGACAACACTTTTCCCTGGGAACAGCAGCTCTAATCCCAGAAATGATTCTTGGCAGAAGGCTGGGCACCCAGAAGCCTCATCCAGCCCCAATCTCAGCCCCTGCTTCAGTTTGGTTCCCATTTTCTGTGCCTCCCCCCCCCCCCAAACTCCTTATCAGGGGCCCCAGGAGCTAAGACTAAGGAGAGGATCATGTTCCGTGGGGCATGTGCCCCATGTCTGGGAGAAGAAATATACACCACTGAACACTGAGCACATAGGAGGGGACACCACGGGAGAGGGAGAGGCAGGTACCCCAAGGGGTGGATGGGCCGAGCCCCCAGCCAGCCCTGAAGGGGGCACTGCTTCCAGGTGTTCTTAAAAAAAAAAGAAGAAAATCATACAACCAAAGGGGAGGGAAGGGTAGAGGGGGAGGAATTGTCCCATTTATACACAACATTGTAAACATACACGGTCTATATTACATGTGCTTCAGTCTGGTGTTTGCATGTCTGTCTGTCCGTCTGTCAGTCTGGGGGCTGGATCTCAGGGGCCTTGCCCAGCACTCACCCCACCTACACCTCCCTGCCCAACCCTGGGAACAGAATCTGGAACAGGTATGGTCCCCAATCTTGGTGGGAACCAGCAGGCAGGGCTGGGCCTGGGCCTCCACTCTGGCTCCAGAGCCGCACACATGTGCACGTGTGTGTGTGTGTATGTGCATGTATGTACACGGGGAACCTGTGTGCATGTATGTACAGGGGGGAGGGTCACGTCACAGAGGCGGCAGGTGGGGCTGCTGGAGGCAAGGCCTCCTGGGGTGTAGCTCACAAGTAGATTCTCCGCAGGTCTCCGGGCGCTGTGATGGTGTTGCACTGAGGGCAGAGCTTCTTGGCACCCTGCAGGGAGAACAGGGAGGGCTTTCGTTGTACACACTGCCGCCTGTTTGCTCATGTGAGCACCTGGGCCTGCAGCCATGTCGCCCTGCACCAGTTGTGTGCTGGGACTTTGGTGCTGTCAGCCCAGGCTGGGGACGAACGGCAGCTTCTGTGAGCAGGCAGGCACGCTCCTGTGTTGGGGGGATGCCAGGATCAAACCGCCTGGCCAGCCCCGCAGCAGGAGCCCCAGTAATGAGAACAAGGCTGGGTCCAGCTGTGGCTGCCGCGGCCCTAACGAGATTACACGCGGCCTTTGATCAGGACACAGAGCCCACGTCCGGGCCTTTTATTGCTGTCTCCGGGCGACATTTTAATGGCTGCTCCCGAGTGAAGAACAGGGGCAGGAGCAGAGGGAGCTTAGTAATGGGAGGGGGAGGGGCCGAGGCCCTGGTCCTGCTTACCCACACCCAGCTTCCTCCTGACCTGGGATCGCAACACTGTGTGGCACGGTGGGCTGTGGGGGTGGGGGCAGGCAGTGAACCCACAGAGGGGCAGAATTTAATAAACCTGGGTGGGGAGGCGAGAATGTGGTGAGCTTAGAGGGGGCGAATATCCTGGTTTCTGGCTGTGTTCTATGCTCCTGCTCCCCCCTGCCCATCCTCATCTCTCCCCCGAAGCAGGCTCAAGCGTAAGCATGGACATCTGGGCAATACCCACAGCAGCTATGCACCCCCCCGACCCCCATGCTATCTCACCAGGGTCCGCAGCCAGCACTCCTCGCAGTGCACATGCCAACACTGGATGGACGTTAGGGGCATCGAGTACGAGTCCTAGGGAGGAGGTGGGCAGAGAAGGGGTCATGCCGAGGCTGCCCCACCCTCTGAAGAGCTCAGATCACAGTGCAGAGACCCTCTCCAACCCCCAGGGGGCACTGAAGCCTGACCAAGGGCACTCCTAAGCTCCTTTCCTCTCACCATGCAGATGAGGCATTTGTAACGGTCCCCACGGGATAGCTGCCGTTCAAGTTCCCTGACCCGAGCCTTCAGGGCCTCAAATGTGGTCACAGCTGATTCTTCTGTTATTCTGTAAAAAGGACAGCATAGTTGGGCAGGCAGCAGGCTGGCATCCCTAATCCGAACCTCTAGCCCACACCTCCCTTGAATTCCAGAACCACCTACACAAATCTCTCCCAGATGTCCCGCCCCAGCATCTGCCCATATCCTATATCTGCAAACTCCACATTCCAGAACTCAACTCATCTCCCTCCTTGTTCCTCCACCTCCCGTGAATTTCTAAATCAGATACCTGGGAACCATTCTCAAACCACGCCTTTCTGAAACGATCCCTGGTACTCCCAACATCCAAAATCTGTCAGCTAGCTCCTAATATCTCTGGAATCTTCCCTTCTTTCCACCTGTATCATCCATCACTCGTCTGGGGTCTCATGATTTCTTCTATGGATTACTCCGCTAACCTGAATGGCCTCTGCCTCCAGTCCCCTCATTCCATTCCGTTCTTCCAGCATCCTGAATTTTGCAAATTTTATCATTTCTACTTCCAACATTTCAATGGCTCCCTGAGTTAACGCTCTATCAAACTCACAAGCTTACAAGGGCCTCCTTGGTCCATCCCTAGCCAGCCACATCCCTCAGCACCCCACCAAATACTTTAAGCTCTGTCCACACCGAAATATAGTTTCCCTCCACACACACCTGTTTTTGATTCCCTGGGCCTCTTGGCACTTTCTGTTTTCCTCCTGATTCCACCCCCACCTCCTAACTCACTAGGTTCCACCTCATCATTCAGGCCTACTTCCCACCTCTTCCCAGAAGCATTTTCCAACCCTCCAGCTGGCATCACCACTGGTGGCTGCCTCTTCTGTGCTCCCTAGCACCTTGTAATGGACTCCACCACAGCAGTTAACTGCAAATGTCTGTCTCCTCTGCTGCACTCAGTTCCCTGAGGGCAAGCTGCTCACTCCACTAGTACTGACTATGGACCTTAGCTCCACACCAGGCACTGAGGATGAGTAAACTTGCTGAATAAAGAGCCAGTCCAAACCCCAGGGGGAGTGAGGCATGTGGGGACTAGATGAGTCCTACATAATCTAGGTCCCTGGCCTACAGGCCTGGCCTGCCTCAAGGGCTCCTTGTATCTTCTGAGGCACATGAGATGCCCTGGTAGTCCTCACCTGTTCAAGCACTGCACAGGAAGGTCCCTACAACCTCTTGAAAACTCTCTGGGCTTCAATAAATACTGAACAGGGAATAGCTAAGACTATCGCAAGGAGTGAAGCTCCCCCTTCTAAAACAGAACAGAATCCAGAGGAGCTCACAGAGGGAGAAGAATGCTTCCTGAAGGAATAGAAAAGATGGCATTGGAGAAGGGCCTTAGGGAATAATAATGATAATACAAATAAAAGAGCTCAAATTTATTAAGTACTTACTAAATGCCAGGGATTGTACTGAGGGATGGAAAATTATCTTATTTACAACTCACAAAAATCCCATGAGGAGATTACAGTATTCCCATTTTATATACAAAGAAACTTAAGCAGAACAGAAACATTAAGTAGCTCGCCCAAGGTCCACACAGAGTGGGGGCAATGGGATTCAAACCCTGGCAGACTGATCAGCGATCAACCAATAACTGTGTGACTGACCATTACTTTACATTGACTAGACCCGGGAGATGTGTCTCCAGGCTGAGGGAACATAGGGACAACAGCCAAGAGGCCCAAGAGCCCCATCTGGCTGGAAGGCTCACCTGTGGGTAAGTAGGTGCTAAAGTGGGAAAGGAGATTGTATCCACGAAGACCTCAGCTGCCACAAGCAGAGTTTATCTTACAGGTAATGGGAAGTTGCTGAGGATGTTGGAAGGAGGTTGTGAAAGGATAGGAGCTGAACTTTCAAAGATAATCAGGAGGCAGAGTGGTCTGAGGTGGAATCACAAGTGCGGTGTGTGGTGGGCAGGAAGGACCTAAGGGTGTCCTGCTCTGCCAGCCTGGGGTAGACCACTGGCTCAGAAAGCTTGAAAGCTTATAGGTGGTCTGTCCCTGCTGGGCGTGTAAGTGGTAATTTGTGAGGGGTGGATGGTGGATAACATTCCATGAGTAGCAACAAACTTCGATCTCTGACCTTTCTCTCTTAGGGTACTAGCAACAACATGTGACTTCCTGATGGCTGTGTCCTTCCATCAGGGATGCTCTAGATGCATCACTCTGTGGGTCCATGGTTCTTTCTGCCCTGCCTCTCTCCAGGGAAGCTGAGAAAGGCTCTGGCTGATTCCCTGGGAGCATCCATTCAACTTTCCAGCTCTGGAAGCCTTCACCACCCTTCCCTCCTCACAAGCACTTGCACAGCTGGCTCTTCTCTTGGCATTTTGCCCAATGCCATATGTGCTGTCCCCATCTGGACTGCTATTAATTCCTGACAAGGAGACAAGAATGGGTAGTTGTGCTCCCTTCCTCTCCAAGGACCAGACTGGGCATCTCCCTGGTCTTATGTGGTTATTTTAAAGATGGGGCAACTTAAGGCCTGGAGCTGGGGGCAGTCTACCACACAGTAGAAAACTATGAGCTAGAGCTGGAAAGGCAAAAAGGATGGGGCCAGGAGAGAATGAAGCCACTTCTCTCTCCATCTCCAAAAGCTCTAAGGCCACCTCTAACACTCCAGAGTCCACCCTATCCTGCATTTGCTCAGCACACACGTGGCCTCTCTACTGACTGCTATGGTAACCTACTCAGTCTCCAGTCACTGACCCAGGTTGGTTGTGAGCTATTCCTGAGCTCCTCCAGGGCATAGAGTAGAGAATTTCCTAGAGGCCATGGCATCCTGCTTTCCTCCTTCCCTGGGTTGTGAAACAGATCTAGGGCAGGAAACCATACTGCGTACAAGGGAGAAGTCATGGGGACTAAAGGGCCTCAATGTTGGCGGACTCAGACCCAATGGAGCTCTCTGCATATGACTGAGCCAGTCCCCAACTTGTTCCAACATCCCATCTTCTGGTGCCTGTGCTCACACAGGTGGGACAGAAATCTCAACTTCTCTCAGCCTTGGATGGGTAGTACCCTCATGGATGGCCACTGGCTCTGGCCCCCACCTCACCCTCAGGCGCCATCCCTGATTAATGATCTTGTCTTTCTGATTTATGAGCAGCCCCTGCAGACGAGGGTGGGTGCCCCTTACGGCCCCGCCTGCCCCGCTCAGCTGGAGTAGGAGAGAATTATTAAATAAACATCCATACGTCATTCCCCCCCCCCCCCCCCCCCAAGCTGGTTGCACCGAACCCGTGCGGCCGCTCTGGCGCTGACACGGAGCAGCTGCGGTGATTCATGGGCAGCCGGGCCCTGCGCCTCGGCCCATACATCATGCCAGCAGCACTCGCAGCCCCGGCCGAGATAAACTGATCAACCACAACGGGCTGGAATGAATTTATGACAACACAAAATGGAGGGAAACAAATGGGAGGTGACCCTGGGCCACCGACCCGGCCCTGCACCGGCCTGCAATC